TATAGAAATGTATTGATTATTGTATAATAGAAAATCAACAAATCCTCTGGTGCAAAAAACTAAGATATTTTTATGTATTTTTCTTGTAAAATGACAATTAATTGAATTTAATGTCTCAGGAAATGTGCAGTGGAGCAGACTGATGCTCCAAATAGCTGAAATTTGAAAAAGGGTCATCTTTAGACAATGTTTGTAAATCACCAGTCTGTCTGTCTGTCCCTGAGCAGGATGACAAATGTCTCAATACCAACTTGTTTTGAGTATAAGCATCTTTTCTAAAAAAAAAAAAAAAAAAAACAACCTTACAGTCTGGAACCTTCTGTGGGGTTTTTTTTGCTTTTATGAAAATGGGTTGGAGATCTAAATGTTCTGCCCTCAGTTATCTAAATGAAAAATAACAGTCTTACTTGAGGCACATTGGGCACCATTTTCTATAATGTGCATTTGTCAGCTGTGTGTGGAGTGTGTGGGCTTTTGAAAAGCAAGGCCTTGACTTGCAGTGATGCTAAAGGAATACATGTATATAATATGAAAACATAATAAAGAAAATGAAACGAAAAAGGATTTTCAGACACACACAATATAAATAGTCTATGTGATATACTGAAGGACTCTGAATCCACACGGCTCTGTCTCTCCCTAAAGAATTTCTGTTTAAAAAATAAATAAATTCCCATCTGAGAATGTGTTATCGATATCTGTATCCGTATGTATTCAGTTGCTAAGTAGGCCTATGTATATTTGAGAAGCGGTGAGCAGCAACTGTTTGGTATTCTTGTTAGATTAATTACTTGGCTTACTCATCAATTATCAAAATTGTTTATTGATTTATTCTCTGTTGTTGCTGCTGTTTAATTTTTCAGCACTACCACAAATTCATTTTATCTGTGATCCCTTAATTTTCCCTCTCTCCCCTTCTCTTTCTCCTCTTCTTCTCTTATTTGTTTCTCTTTGTCTTTTCTGCAAAATCGTGTCCGGCACAAGTTGAACAAACAACAGTGCAGAACAGTGCAGTTCAGGCAGCTGCCTGAAACTCAAATAAATGACTGTGTTATGTTGTTTTATCTGTTAGCAGTTACAATAGTCTTTTGTTTCAGATGTATTAAAAAGTCAACTTTCTCTCTTTATATACATTGACTACATTATTCACTTGAACTTCAAAATATCATAGTGAAAACTGACAGTTACAACAAGCCCACATATGTCTTACCTTCATAAATTCATGTGGTCTGATTAACAAATAATAAATAATGTTTTTGCTGTCGCATAAGACAAAGAAAAAAACCTTAAAAGATTTGAGAGGTGGGGAAATTGAAAATGTTTAAAAACTAAAAATTGCACAAACAAGAAAAGCACTCTATAGAACACATACGGCTGCCAAGTCCCTTATTATGTAATAAAGCTGCACCAAAGTTCACCCACTCATGTCAAAATAAATGTCAAAAAACCTCGCAATGCAGATTTTTTAAAATCACTTTGTTCATTTTATATTTTCTTTCTTGGCCTGTCTCATCCTTCCTCCAAATATTCTGAAAATCCAATCAGTAGTTTTCCGTAATCCTGCTGACAAGCAAACAAACACAGAAACACAAAACATAACCTCCTTGACGGGGATAATGATCACAATAGTTGATCATGTATTCTGTTGATCAATTCACCAATGAATCATTTAATTTGTCTTTATGTCAACTGAACCAAAAACTGTTCTACCACCACTCTCACAGACACGACACTGGTATTTCTTCTTACCTTGCATTTAGCAGCTTTTGACCGTGTTTGACCTGTGGTGTTATTCTGCTGCGCCTGGACTTGTGTTGTGTTCACTCGGCCATGTGAGGACACACTAGTGCCTGAACATTGTATTTCAACTGCGTCCTTGTATAATAATCTAAATTCAACCATATGCCCTGACAGTGGAGATTACTGAATAGAGATATTTCTTTGTGTGTTATTTCATGGGCTTTTAAATCTACATGGTGTTGTATGCCAGTGAATATCATTAACATTAGCATCACGTTATCTTACCACTTGACAAATTCCATAGAGAAGAGAGTACTCAGATCCTTAACTTAACTAAAACACAACAATATATCAGAAATGAATCAATTTCAAGTTAAGTTCCTGCACAGAAAATGTCACAGTACTCAATGCCGAATATTTCAATTACATTTTATTTGTAAAGTGCCAAATCATATAACAAATGGTACAAAAGGCAGAAATCTCCACACTCGTGCAATAGAGATCTCTAAAATAAAGAAATGGTCTTATAGTTGTTTATTCTTTTGTTCAAATTAAAGAAAGACAGCTGACAGTGAAATACAGATTTGGTTTTGTTTGTTTGTTCCTGTATTGGATGAAGACTCATCCTGTGTTTATGTTCTCATCAGGTAGATGAAGCTCGGTACGTCTGTCTGCAGTGATTTATCAGTTATGTGGTCAACAAATTATGGATCGATCCAAGTCTACAGTCAGCATCATTGTCTTACGGTATGTTTACTGTTATCTGAGGTCACTGTTTCCATGGTGCTGGAGAATTTGCAGTCGCATAATAATTAATAATTATTATATCAAATGATCATCTCCTGCACTGAGTAACA